TTTACAGTTATAACAATTGAATATTCTAATTTTTTAGCATGATAAAGAATATTTATTTTATTCAATGATAGATGATTGATTGCTTATTTCATTGCAATTATGTTGAACATGCAATATTACTTGTAAAAGATGACTCATCATTTCATAAGATGTTTCTTTGAATAGAATCAATCATATGAACATTTTTGAGTAGTACTTTGCAGAAATAAGTTATTTTTATTAGAAAAAAAAAAAAAGATTTCTTTTTTTTTTTGAAATATTTATAGTAGTTTCAAGTGCAGATTATTAGAAAATCACTTTGAATATTTTCATCAATTAATCACAAAGTTGAAGAAACTTGAAAGTTAGTAGGAGAAGAACTTCAAATATGAAACATTTACAAAAGATATTCGAACTATTTTCAAGAATATAATTACTTTGAATGTATAGAAGGATAATGTTTTAAACTGTTTTTTTTTTTGTATATTTTTAGATATATAAACAAATCTATTTTTTATTTTATAATGTTCAGACTTCTTTAACAATGAAGCTATTTTAAATCTTAAAATGAAAAGTGATGATCTCTATAGATCTTTATTTAGGAGGATTGAAAGCATTCTATAACTTAACATTATTTTATTAATGTTAACTACACTTTTTTGATTGAAATATCCAACACGGTTAATTAATATCTTGTAGTCATTTTCTATCATTCTCATGAATTTGAATAGATGAAAATAGACTATACATTGGATTGAATATTAATTCATACAGATCTCTAATCGTAATATAAAAGAGTATTGATGATTACGTTACGATTTGAACAAAGAAGAGTCAATAATAATTTGAAAAATTAGAATGATAAAAGTATTTGCATGCAATAGATTGTGCAATTTGTTGATGATTTGTTTTGTTTTTTTTTGATCATTCGAATACAGTTTTAAAGAGAATCTTGAAATATAAATTTTATTTATTAGACAATATCTATCATTATAAAACTTTTTTTCGAGAAAGTTCATAGTTCTTTTATTGTTGCAAAATCTTTTGTCTTAATCATCAAACAAGATATTCGTACCCATTGCCAACAATACTGGAAGTTACATTCCTTATCTAATATCAATTCTATTAGATAAACATATTTTTTCATCCTTGTAAATACAATCATGTTGTTCTTTTTGTTCAGTTCTATGTATAATTTAAATTTGACAAAACAAGAAATCAAGGAATTATTCTGACAGATGACTAGTGTTTATCATACTACTAACTTTTGTTGCCAGATAATTCATATTGTATGTATTGCTCTATCAATTCAGATTAGATAAACAATAAGCTTTGTTTTATGCATTATTCGATGCATGACAAATGTCAATCAATCATTAGAAATTGCTCTTTCTATTCGTAGTATTCTTGTTTTCCTCTGTAAACCAAACTATTACAAAAAAAGACAAACAGAATAACAGTAGAATTATTATTTTTCTCTGTACCAATATTGGAGATATTTTGAATGATATATAATGTTTTCTTATGATTGAAATTAATATACCATATGATGTACAAAGTCTAGATGGTTTTATATTTAATCGAGAGAGAAATTGAACATAGATCTCAATGGATTGATGAGACAAACGTAAAAGAAAAATCAAAAGCAAAACAAAAATATGGGTGCAAGATCAGTAATATTGACGCACAAAAATAATATAATGAACGAAGAACAATCAAATTAATCGATTACGAAGTATTAAAAAAAAAAAAAACAAAAAAAAATTTCAAGTGATTTTAGCGAAGTAAAATTCAATAGATCTTATATTAGGATGTCATTTGAATAACGATGAATAATAATTTTTTTCCACAAGAATATATTATATATGAAGACAAAAACTTCTACTTGTAAATCAATATTAAATGATGTGGAATTGCTCACAAAAGAGAGATCAATAGAGAAATTAATGCATATTCAAGTTTGTGGTTGTAAAGAAGATGATTGACATTCGGAATAATGATTTAGCTTACAAGGGCAAGAGCAAATATCAGTCATGAGTTCATGAAGTACGAAAAAACAATCATTATATAAAATAAAAAGATCTTGGATAATTCATTTGTTTTCTTTCTGAATACTCAATAGCTAGAATAGAATAATGTCATTGTTTTATTATTGCAAAAAAACAAATAATCGAATATACAAGATGGCCTAAAAGTAAGGGAACACAGAAGTTTTTCAATTTCTTCTTTGCACGTGATCAGTTAAGCGCCATATTTATACTACATGTACTATATGATATTATTAAAAGATATAGCATATGCTCAGCCTTGAGATGCCGTCATTTTTTCGAAAGGTACAAATTTATCTCACTACTCCTCTGTGACTGTATGAGAAATTCGATGCTCTACGAGCTTTCCTCGATTTATATTATTTTGTCTGCTTCTCTGATTTATTTCACGGATTGGAATAAACAGACAAATCTATGAAAATCGAAAAAAATATTGAATTCCGCTTACAGCCAAAGATGAGCAGCAAGATAAGTTTGTTCACTTTTGAACAAAATACTGCACTCAAAGATTGAGTATATGCTATATCTTTGACAAGTGTCATTTAGTATATGTGATGTAAAAATGAGGTCTAATTGAGTCTTTACAAAGAAGAAATTGAACAAATTCTGTGTTCTCTTACTTTTGTGCTACTCTGTATATTGATCTATTTCTTATCTTTTTTTTACCAACTTAAGATATGTAAAACAATCTGCAAATATTGAGAAACCCCTTGAAGGTCTCAAGATTGGGAAGGGAGAGTGCATACATGATCATTGATGTTTTTCAACAGTGGGAGAAGGAGATGAGCTAAAATTTGGTAGAAACTACCTTCGTGCTAGTTTTTTATGGTGCACAAGGAGAAGGGAGTGACGTCTCCCTCACTGCCAGACGGTTTTCAATCACCTACAATCCGCATTCATTCAATCCTGGTCACCAAGTGACGGTATTGTTTGCTGGCAGACAATCATTTTAGTTTACTTTCTATTAGAACAATAGAAGGTACTGTGTAGAACCTGATCTTTCTAAAAATCTACCAGGACGACAAAAACTTTTGATAGAAAGCATTTAAGAATTTGCTTGAAAGTCAAACACTTCAATAGTGGAAGGATGGCGTGAGTACATTTCGACTTTTACGGGTTCTGCAAATATCTGAGCCTAAAATAAAATTAATCTTATAATTGTTGTGAATCATGAACGCATAAAATGCAATACTAATTAACATTTTGAAATATTCTTGTTCATTTATAAGGTAGAGTTTTTTATAATTACTCTAATTAACAAATAAAACTATGAATCATATGAAAATCTTAATCGAAGAATTAATTTTACAATATTATATTCTATAACTAAACGAAAATCGCTTTTCAGAACTTATTTGAAGATATGAGAACAACATATGACTTAAATTTTTCACTTATAACTAAAAGCACCTAATAAACAAAACAAAATGCTTTTTTTTCTTCTAACAGCATTTTCCAAAATATCAAATACTTTGTTTTAAGCTCATTCGATAGAGAATTTCCTGATCTACACAGTAACCATCTTTACTTTTCAAATAACTTTTTGTCTGTACGAAATTTAAAAGTTAAACACTTAGCTCAATCGTTTAAGTGTGACGATCAGAAAAAGAAAAATTTTTCGTTAAGATTTCGCTGAAATTTCAAAAAGTTCTTTATAAAAACTTGTATCTTTTGATATATTTTTCAGAGTTTTAGAAGTGAAAGTTGTAGACAAAACTGATTTGTGGAAGAATTACATCATTGTTCCTTTCGTGAATCGTGTCATAGACCAAGCCTCGTTATAGAAAGCATGGTTTTTTAGAATGTGTCTCAAAATATCACTAGATATTGATTGAAAGTCTTGTTTCTTTCGAATAACAAAAGCAAAAACGTTGAAAAGGTATTGAAGGCAGAAAGCACGAAAGTTTCTATCGATTAAAGCTAAATATTTTACTTTTATCGTCGGCTCTAATTAGCTAAGGCTTATACAAATCGATAGATGTCTATAGAAAACCTTATGTGAGAATTAGACAATTGAATACGCGCTCATCTTTTAAGTTTTTTACTGACAAATAATATGTTATTTGAAAAACAATGTTAGTAGTTTAATAGAACAAGAAACTCTCCATCAAATAAGTCTAAAATGAAGTTTCTCATATGTTGATAAGTGCTCTAAAAATAGAAAAATATTTTGTCCTGTTGCTTATGCGCCACTCTTTACATCAATAAGGTATCGAATGATATCATAAAGATTCTTCGAGCAAACAGTAATAAAATGTTATAAACAAAAATAACTAAGAATTGTTACAGTCATAAGAATTATTCAATGATTATCTATGAAATTTTATTTCATAAATATCAATCTAGCTTCAAGTAGTCTTGTTATGCATTGAATATTGCAAGTCAAGTAGTCTGAGTAAAAAGCAAAGTAAACTCTAAAGAACTATGAAAAGATTCATCAAGCATTATAGTTAATACATTGAATATAATAGAAAGTGAATAAATAGAAGAGCCAAAAGACGTGACATTTGCTTAGAAAAAAATAATATTAAAATACCTGAAAGCAAAAGAAAAAAACCATATTCTGTCGAAGGTAATAGTGGTATTTATTATTCTTTTTTCATGTGTACTGATAGTTTAAGTAATCAGGGCATTTATTACGAATGTCTTTCAAGTATAAGAAATTTGATTCTTTAAAGAAGGCTATATTACGAAAGACAACAAAGCATTCTCCAATTGTTTCGATAATATGAATAATGGCTTTTATAGAACATATAAATACTGTGATCTTATAATTTCTAATTTGAAAAAAAGCAATTCTTTTATAATAAATAATTATTGCATTCTTATGTTTAAATTTTCTTGCATTAAAAACAAAATTTGTTTCTTTTTTTCGAATCATGACCTGCATGATTTGTCTTAACATCACTGGTAAATGAAAGACTAAATACAAATGAAAAGCACAAAACAAAACAAAACAAAAAAACTGTTAGATCACACTTCGGAATCTCTTAAATAACTATCATCATATTTACCACGTACTTTATCATGATGATGACTACGATGTTTTGATCGACGTTGAGGTGAACGTCCATCTTTTTTATCATCATCATTTAGTTTTGCTCCTTTTGATGAACTTTTTTGTGAATTAAATGCTTCAGCAAGTGAAAGAGCAAAACGATGTGCATGTTCTTTCGATTGAAATAAGAATGCATAACATTCAGTTAATGTTTCATGATTATTCTTTTTATCCGAAGATGATGATGTTTTCAACTGACGTAAAACTATACAAGCCGAAACTTTCGAATACTTGATATCATGCATAACATAAGATATATATTCTAATGGGATAAGCCCATTTTGATGTCGTTCAGGACTATGACTACGTGAATGCTGTCTACGATGTGAAGGTGAATGACGATGTGTAAGTGTAAGTCCACGTGTATTAATACACGCTTCTAATGTTGGTATATCATTCACTGATGATAATTTTCGTGCATTATGTACCATGTCATCGATAGGACCGCGTACGGCTGTAGAACCCCATAATTGAGGACATTTTGTTCGACCTAAATACTTGACAAGAAAATATTGCGGCAGTATCAATTTAAATTGTGATGACATAATAGGAATACTATCGGTCTGTTTTATTTGTATTCGAATAGCATCGGGTGTAAATGGAGCTGGTGCATCGTCAATATCACTTGTATGCATAAAATTTAAATTAGCAAAATCTTCATTAAGATTTGCAATAATATTTGAATTCGATGAACGACGATTTTGAGAAGACAGTGATAATGGAGGAAGTTGATTAGTACTATGATTATTTCGTGGTTGATAAGGTGGTGTATCCGATGGTGTCGATGGACGACTACTTTCACGAGATGCTTGATAACGAATAAATGGTGAAAAATTTGTATTTTTCACTTCAGAAATAGTTTCAACAGATTGTAGATAAAAATTTGCTGGTTCATGAGAATTTTGTTGATTATGTTCAGAAGAAGAATGACGAGACTGAAGACCGAAATAATCGTGATTTGTTGTTTCATCTTGAAAAGCATCTTCAAAATCGACATAAAGCTAAAGAAAAAATAATAATCACAGCATGAGACTAATGTACTCGTATGTACTCATTTAATCATCTATAAGACAATAAGAAAGAAATACTCAATATAATTAGTTTTAGTCTATACACAATATTGAGATTTCATCATTAAGAATAATAGAACAAAAATTTCTTTTTTCTTTCTTTTTGTCTAATGTATTTTTAATAAACCAATAGGATTTTATTTTATGCTACCTATGAAAATTAAACTTACTGCTTTAGCTCGTTCAAGTTCAGTTTGTTTTCGTGTAGCAGGTGATTCATTCGAACGATTGCCATTAGTAGAAGAATTTGATGGCATAATAGTAGCATAATGAATTTGACGTTGCTGTTGATGATGATCTTCTTTACGTGCCATTTAGATTTTTTTTTGGTCTTCGATTGAATTCTAAGTTTGTTTTATTTTTATTTGATCAACAATACAGTTCTCTTATGATACAGCACCTTGAACAAATAAACAAATAAAATACAGTCTTTTTAAATCATGCACTGTGTAGAATGTGACAGTATTCGATGAATCAACAGCGTAGGTGGACCTTACGGCGTCTCTTCAATGCTTTTTGTCTTTTCTGCACAACTGCTTCGATGGCTGTTCGTGCGAAGCAACGAAAGAATTAACGACAAAAAGAAAACAACTATTTCATCAGGTACTATTACTTAAGAACGATGAATACATTTTGTAAACGGAAGAAAAAAAAACAAACGCAGAGTACTTCAAGTAGCGGCTAAGGTTTATGTATCTCTACAAAAAAAGACACCCGATTAAAAATTTAAGATTTAAGTGAATGTTCAGAAAAGTCAACTAATGCAGATTTTATTTTTATATGTTAAATTTGACAGTTATTTATTCTAAACTGATAAAACGTTTCTTGTTTTTTATGACTATTATACCTTTCTTTTTACTTCATCGTTTTTTGTTTTCTCTTGATATCAGTAAGTTAACCCTCATTCTTTGATTTTTGCTCAAGAGTTATTACCTTATAAAAGACGAGCAATAAAGCTTATTGCGATAACGACATATATGTAGTATGTAGGTATATATTCCTCTTCTTTTCTGTTTTGATTGTTGGCATCATCATAGTCTTGTTATAACATGTCAGATTAGATGAATAAAACAAGCGTGTCAAATAACTTTCATATACTACATGTAGATGTTGTTCTGCACACTGCAGCCAGTTATGGTAGCACGTCGTTTTTTTGTCAAGTATGAATATATGTACAGTTTGTCAAGTCAATTAAAAATTGGCTAGTTGAATAAAGTCTAGTAGAAAAAAGAAAATAAAAGAAAAAGGAAGACAAAAAAAACGATAAAGAATAAGAAGTTTTCTTTTTTTTTTTTTCTTGAATAAGCAATGCAAACATACTGAGAGCGTTATTCTTTTTTTTTCTCCCTCTGTATATATGTCGATTGAGAATTGACGATAAACGAAAATATAGGGAATTGAATAAAATAGAGCAAAAAATTTTATAATAGAGAACGAAAAAAGTTGAGTAGGTAAAAGTATGGCGAATTCTGATGTCTTTTTATTCTCAACGTAGTATGATTTTTTTTTTGATCATGTACAAACAGTAATTATTTTATTGTCAGTTAAAAAGTTCGCTTTTTTCCTACGTACTTACCGATCATGCAAAAACATACCATTAACAGATGATGTATGACATATTTAGCATTCATCATTTTCGAATATGTATTTATGTATAGAAATACATGTTGTTTTTTTTTGAAATAAATTTTGTTCTTTTCAACCAGATAAGATTGTACTGTATGAATATTATATTTTAATTTTGAAATTATGGTTCGGAGAATTAGAGATGAAATATTGATATCTGTTTCTTGTTTAACATATGTGAACAATTTTCCATGGAAAGTATATGAATATGATAGATAAATATTTAATTTTATTCTATGAAATTACAAGAATAATTTGTTTTCTATGTCGATCAAATTATTATGTCATTGAATAAAACTTATTAATAAAATACTTTTATTTATTATCGAATAGAGTCATATATGTGTAAAATATTAACAATCCATAATAAAACTTGTGCAATATACTTGATTTTAATATTTTAAATATGATGTTTATCTCTCTCAAGGTATTTAAACACTCTTATTCAACTATTACATCTCTATCATAAGCACAAAAACATATGTTACTAAGAGAAACAAGTAATGAATGATATTCTAAGACAAATTATTCGACTTTCTTTGTTATTGTAGAGTTTCATTGTAACTCGAATAAGAAGACCATAGATATGTACATATAATTGATATTGTTAGTGAAAAAAAAAAATTTTTTCTTTTTTAATCATTAACATATATGTATTCAATTAAATACATATGAATAAGAATAAATGACGAAGTATTGTTACCATTGACTTCAATATTTGACTAGAAATAAGTGAAGTACTTTAAATGTCATTTATGTACATATTGGTCATTTTTATGACAAAATTATAAGACAAGAACAATTTTGATCATAGTTACTGTTATGTGTTGATGGTTAATTGTATTATTCAAAAAAGATTTTTAATACATTTATGAATTTTCTATAAGATATGATGAAAGATAATGTATTGTACATATCCGTTGATACTTCAGTTACATTTATGTCATATTTCTTTTTTTTTTCTAGTGAAGAACTTTTTACATTCTACTTATGTTTCATCAATTTATGTTGTTTTATTTCTATTGATAGTTTTCCTTTTTTTTTCATAATAATTATTTTTAATCTTTCAACATTATTTTGACTTTTATTCTTGACAAAACACCACATGCGTTTTAAATTATGATAATAACATACAATCTGACAAAATTTAAAACGATAACATGTAAATATGTTTATTTCCAACTAAAAATATAACGAAAAAGAAATTTAATATATTAATCAATGGCTCACTATTTATACGTTACGAAGATTAATATTTACAACAAAAAATAAATAAAAATCGAATATTTCTTCTCAATCTATTGATACAATTCTAATTTTAGAATTAACAAAATTTAAGATATAATATATATGAAATATTTCCATCTTTTATAATAAATCATGATTGATTTTAAAAAAAGGTATTTTTTTTCCGATCGGTCAATATGAAAAAAATCAAATTTAGATTATGATATAATTCGAATATGTAAAGCTTGAGTCCATTTTAATCATTCATTAATCTAGTAGTATTTATTTTGTTGTTATTCTCGACATTAAAACATAATCATGTTAGATAATCATAACATTGTTTTTAGTATGGTGAAGATTTTAATTATCTATGATCAATAACTGTTTACATGTTATTTATTTGAAACTATTCAACACATACATTAAATTTCAATACTCGAACTTACAACGTCATTGAATTATGAGAGATGTATAACAAAAAACGTACTTTTTTTAATGACATGCCTAAAAAGCAGAGCAAATGTTTTGTCCGTAATAAACGATGTGAAATAATATGTAAATAATTGGTCTGGTTTGTAAAGCATTCTAAATTCTATCGAATAAGGTAATTGATCTAGATTCCATCCATTTGTTCTTTTGATCGAGAGGTACACTCTTGACAAGAACTGGTATATGTTTTGTATACACTGAAACTAATTCAGTTTTAATTATCTCATAGGTACAAATAACAGTATACATGTTGTATAGAAAGAGAAATAATTGACAATAATAACAATGGGCACAGAAAAACTTCGCCTATTAGTAGTTTTATTTTATAGATAGATAAGAAGAGTTTCTTAAAAAAAACAAAGCCTTTAATGTTGAATATAGATTTCCGTCTTTAATGAATTATTTGATTTAGATTAAAATTTTTAGAGTAATCTATAATGCATCAGTATCCGTACAAATATAGAGACCTGCTGTATTCGAACGTAAATTGCCAGAAGCCTAACTTTTTCGCTTACATGTAGAGCGAAGTATTTATTTTAATGTGCACGTTTAAAATTTATGAAGTAACTTGAGATATTAATTTTTAATTTTTTTTAACCACTAGAGGTGACTTAGTTACCAAAATAAATATGTGCGCGCTTGTTTTTTCGTTTAACCTACATTATATTGATTACAAAAGAGGATAAAGAGTTCAAACTGAAAAACCTATTTTCTATTGTTTTGCGTACCTACGATACTAGTGGAAACCTACATCGGTTCGGTTATAGGTACTGTCCTTACCAAGTTATACCAATTTTTCTGAATTTCTTATCTCTCACAAGGTATTTGTGAAACAGTTGAATCAGCAAATTTCAGCTTGAATTTCCGTACTTCGATTAGTCTACCAATATCTTGCCAGAGATCGAAATCATGTAACATCGTAATAACCTGAGAAGGACAGAGCATTTAGACGAATCTTTATAGATTTTTGTTAATCTCGTCAAGCGTTACTTATCGGCAAAATATGAGCTCGATGGACGAGTCACACTTGGGGGCTATTTCTCGTCAGATCAATGTTGTCACCAAATGTGCTGACCATGAATTTCTTTTTTGACTTTCTCTTCTCCTTGTGATAGAGGGTAAAACGAATTGAGTCTCTCCAATACATAAACCGAAATTTATTATTGAATTTAGCAGAAATAGCCTGTGTTTCGCTTAATATTAAGTAAAGTATCGGAAAAGTTTTGCTTGGAAATATAGGCACTGACTATGAAGATGATATTAGTCAAAAATTATTGAGGCATATTTCTATTTTATCACGTCAGTTCTAGCAAAAATTTGCAATTCACTCACATGTTCATGATTATTAGAAGTCATTTAGTATATCATATTGACACGTATCGTGATTAAAATCTTGTCAAGATTTTTAAACGATTATTCGTTCTTATATTTCTTAACCATGTTAGATACATCTATCTCTAAGATCTGTTCCAAGATTTTGAATAAAATGAAAAGCAACATAATAAACTTATTTACATGATCCAGAATTCTTTAATTCTTTATGACTTATTGGTAGAAAAGAATCGTCAGTTGATTTAGCAAATATACGACTTCCATCAACTAACGAAATTAAAGATCGAAATAAGTAAAGAAAGAGATAGAGCTATTAACCAAAATCTGGCAACAGATTACAGGGTTCTATGACAATATAAGAATCGTATAGAAGATAACATTTTTTAATTATGGGACTTTTATTACAAGTTGACTAAATAAAAGTTTTATTGTGAATTTTCGTATTGATAGAATTTTATTTAAATGACTCCTCTGTTTAATTTTTTTTCTCAAGATTGGTAACTGTAAAAGCAGTGTAGAAGTTTTCAATTTTAAAATTGGATAACCATTATCATTTTTTAAAGTCAAACGAAGCAGTAATCTTGAAATTCCGAGAATCTTTTTAACGATAAACAAGCCTAATCATTTGTCGACTGACTGA